CTGTAGCCTGGTCTGAATCCTGACTGGAAGGTGTCTAGGGAGTTTGCTTCCTCTAACGACCGTTGTAGCTGGTAGGCTACCACCTTCTCAACAACCTTCCCCAGGAAGGGAAGGTTGGAGACAGGGCGATAACTGTTAAGGAGAGCTGGATCCAAAGATGGTTTCTTTAGGAGGGGTCTCACCACCGCCGCTTTCAGTGCGGCGGGGAAGTTCCCCTCCCGAAGGGAGGCGGTAACAACCGCTTGGATCCAGCCTCGTGTCACCTCACTGCTGTTAGTGAGGGGCAGATGTAAACAACCAGACGTAAATTGAGGACTTTCTGTAAGAAGGAAAATGCTTTAAACTTTTTTTTCCCTGCTTATATTTGTCTGTTCTGTGCTGTAGCTCACCACCCATCAAGAATTGTGGGCTTTTATCGTGACAAACTTGGCAAGCGTCTATATCAGGGAAGGAAACCGGCATCAAGAGGTAAATGTCTTGGCTGAAGAACTGGGGTTTAAATGAAATGTGAACAGTTGGTTATATTACATAGGCCAGGGGTCGCTAACCTTTTGGAACTTGGAGACCACTAAATTCATAATTTTAAATCCCACAAACCACTAATGATTTTTTTAAAAAAGATAAATAGCATTTAGTGCAATATTTAAAATGCAAATAATTTTTCTGTGGGCCGCCACCAAAATTTTCTCACGGGCCACCAGGTGGTGACCACTGATACAGAGCGCAACAGAGGGAAAGCAAGCGTGTACTTTATCCATGTCGTTTTTTAAAAAGTCATTTCAAGATGTTCTGTAAACAGCATCTTTTTTTACGGCTTCTTCTAAGCTTACATCTTTGGTCTTCTTCTAAACCACAACTCGTAAAACAATTACAGATTTGCATTAGTGCTGCTCAGAATTTAGCACACTATTCCAGTTGTGAATAGAATATTTTTATTTTATTTGCATAAAATATGAATCATGTGAAATCGTCAGAAGCCAGGCAGGCAGGTTTGTAAATGTGGAAATCCTTTCAGTTTGTAAAAAAAATGTATCTGAAAGACAATTTTGGCTTCCACAGACAACCTCTAAGCCCAGGAAGCCTGGGAGAATATTCACATGATAAACTGCTTGGGTCCAACTGCCTTTGTCCTCTATAACTGTAAATGTGAATTAAAAACTAACAAACTTCCTCATGTCTTCCTCCTCTCCAGCTTTATAGCTTGTTGGAAAGGATAAACCCAGACCACAATTTTCCGGTGAGGTAGGTAAATCAGTAATTCCCCTTACAATATAATATTGTATAAGCCATATAAAGGCATTATATTGGATGGCTTGTAATGATTCTTCGGTATCAGCAGGGCTTTTAACTGTTGTGGGACTCTGGTGAAACTCTCTGTTTCATGACGTTTTTTATATGCCAGGAATTTAAGATAGGCAATTTGATCAACGTAACTAATAGTAGTCCCAGTGGACATTTAAAAGAGTTTAGCATGCCTTGTCAGCCTGCACTTCAACCCCTGTCCTTTTTACTTTAGTTATTAATTGCATTTACATCCTGCTTTTCAAAGAACAAGAAGTGAGGTACACACTCTGGTATGAAGGCATAATAAGGAAAGAATAAAACTGAAACCTGAATAACCTGAAACAATAAAACTGAATAATGGAGTGCACAGTCTGAAAGGTTGTGTTTAAATGTGGTGCTTCATAGTCCACTTAAAATCGAGAGACTGCCAATAGTTCTTCCTAGTGGAAGACGTTCTGAATAGGCCTTAGAAACTGACCTGAGGGCTTGGATAGTTTCAGAATTTTAAGGCACATTAAAGCAAAAGAGAGATGAGTAATTTGACAGGAAGGTTGTGTGACAATCAACAATTATTGTTCATTATTCTACTCTTAGTGGCATAGTAATTAGAGTGTAGTACTGTAGGCTACTTCTGCTGCCTGCCGGCAGCCTGCAATTTGACAATTCAAATCCCACCAGGCTCAAGGCTGACTCAGCCTTCCAGGCTGGTAAAATGAAGACCCAAAATTGTTGAGGGCAATAGGCTGGCGCTGTAAACCGCTCTGCTCTTTAAAGAGAGAAGGCGTAGAGGCTGCCTGTGTTAAACGGTGCATCATAATCAGGCTGCAGGCCCTGAAACCCACCAATTTTTGCCTCCATTTCAAGTTTTTCAAAAGTTTTATTGACCTCAAAGCAAACCTATTCCAATTGGCTAGACAGTTCTATTTGAGGTTTGAACTAGTTTAGCAGCCTCCAAAACATACATACATACATACATACATACATACATACATACATACATACATACATGTCCTTTGTTCT